ATGTTTAGTCAGAAAAAAGCATAGTTACACCAAAAAACGTAATTAGAGCACTGAATGCTGTCAGGCTCGTTCCAATGAGGTTAGTGGCGCCCACTTTCAAATTCGAGTTTTTCGAGCCAGTGGGTTGCTGGAGAAAAAAGACGCTGTCTGTAGCGGAGAAATTGATGGAATGAAAGAAGCCAGTTGGAACGTCCGCTCATGACTATGGGGACAATAACAGGCTCTGTCTAAAAGAAGTGTTCCTGGAAGACGGTTCGTGAGCATGGCAAGCAGTGGGCGTGACGTATGCTGTTTGCATTGCGAATAACAACGGAAGTGGCGTAGCAGTGGTTGTTACACGCAACCGGGCAAATGACTACAATAGTGATGACGTTCGAAGAGGTACTGAAGCGGCGGGTAGAATTAGAAACATGCAGATCAGCCGAGAAAATTGCGACGCAACTGCAACTGAAGCACTGCTGCATTTCGTAAATTTCAGAGCTCCATATCAACGGACTGAGTGGTCTAAATGGTGTATGTATACATCAAGCCAGAAGAGGCACTGTTTGGCCGGAGATGCAGTTTTACAAAGGAAAGTAAAAGTTAGCTGAAAAGCAATGCCGAGCAGCTCAAAAATGTCATAATTCGTTTCAGAAACGACAAATTTGTCTCCTACCTATTTCGACCCGTTGACCAGGTGTTGTTTCAAATTCATCTGGTAACTCATATTCACGTCCGTATAAACTTATCCCTTACATGCCGGAAAATGTTGTATCTAAATTTGTGGACAGCAAAAATAAAGGGAGGGGGAGAAGGCGCCAATTTGATCCACGAGCACCAAAGAGTAACATGATCCCTAGATTTCCGCGGAAGTTCAGCACACCGTTGGAGAATATGAGTCTGCTCGAATCAGTTAACTTTTTAGTTATCGACTTCCTGAAAAAATGTCATTCGACAGGGTCAAACTGTTTTTTTTTTCCTTTTAGATAGTTCTGCAAAGCACAGTAGCCGAATGCTGTGTTTACACACCATCTGTATTGCTTGCTCATAAATGAATCTCTGCCTCATTTTCATGAATTTTAACTTTGCTTTGAAGGCAGGACACAGATTAGATAAAAACTCATCCCAATCAACAAGTAATCGAATTTTAGTTGAAAATATCGATGCCTCCCGCGGTTGAATTTCTTACACAAGCTGGTACAATGAGATATTTCATGGGACTGCCGTTTAAATTCAAAGCCCATCTGCATTCACTTCCTACGAGAGTCGAGGGCACTCTGAAGCAACTCTGATGCCAGCATCAAAAATCTGTGCGCAGTGCTGTGCAT